TATATATATATATATATATATATATATATATATATATATATATATATATATATATATATATATATATATATATATAGATAATTATAGGAAAAAACTTTTAGTACAATCCACACGAAAATAAATAAAAAATTTCGTAACAACGAAAAGTGAAATAAGATGACGTGACGTTTTCAGTCGGTGGGCACGAAAATAACGAGTTAATTTCATTAGAAATCTATGGGCACTTTTATGGTACGGGTTTCTCTCTGTTTTTTTTAATAACGTTTGTTTGATTAAAATTTATTTTGGCTAGGTTTTATAATGTGTTAGGACCACATAATGTCACACGTTTTATTTTAAAAATGATAAAACTTATAATCACGGATATCACCTCCTACTTATGTCCCGGGAATCTTGTCACATTTTAGTTAATGCGTGATTTTTGCTGCTTTTCTACTACTTTAACGTCTCAATTAATTAAAGGATTTTCTTTTCGTGTTTGACTTTATGATTTGTTTTTAGCGTTTTTACTTTATGGATAGCATGCAACCGTTACTTTTACTAGTGATTGACAACAGTTCCTTAAACTACGATAAAAGAGATTAAGTTTGTAACGGTAGTGAAAAAAAAAATTATTTCATCAAATTGTATTTTATTGGATATTCTTTTCGTGTAATATTTATTTGAAATATAGTTAAAAAAAAATATATTTATTATCACTTGCGTTTAATTAATTATAACTTCAATAATAAAAAAAAAAAAAAAAACTAAGGAAAAAAACCTTTTAAATTCAAGTTAGAAATCGATCCATTAAGTTATTAGATGAAAGTCTCACATTGACTAATTTAAAGAATGATCACGGGTTTATAATCAATAATGCTATTTCTTGATATGAGGTCTTTTAGGTAGCCTAAAGCAAAGTCACGAAAATTTATGCTCAAAGTGACAATATCATATAATTGTGTTCATGCCCTAATTTATATATATATATATTGTAATTTTAATTTTTTAAAGTTAAAAATTAATATTTCAATATTTAATTTGATGGAAATGAAAATTTGGGATAAAAACTTATATAATTTTGTTAAAGGTAAAGTTGATTTGAAAAATTATTTATGTAGTTCCTACCCGCGCAAACGATAATGGAACTCCTTCGTTCATCTGGTTCCGGCATCTCTGCGATGGCGACTTCCGATTCAAAACCCGACGATCGGTCTATTTCGTCGCCGGAAACTGAGTTGTTGCCGGAATCTGAATCGCAGCTCTCAGTTCTGGTCTACGGTACGCTTCTTCGTTTTTCTTTCTCTCTCTATTTGTGGGTAATGTTAACAAACAAGCTGCTAGAAGGGAGAGAAAAGATTACCTACACGCGAACTTGATGATTCTGGTTTATTCATTACTAATAAATGAATTGATATCATCCTTTTATTGACAATGAAATTTTACAGTTTTCATATAAAGGATTTAAAAAGCATGCACTCATCGAAATATTACATGAAGTCGAGGGAATGCAAATTGTATGATGACATGTTTAGATTCTACTGCATGCTTTCAATAAATTCTATTAAGAACTTTGTGCCAGCGAAAGATGACTATTTTTACATGCGTAACCAATTTTTCATAATAGAGCGTTCTCCCAGTCGTCAAATTTAAATATATTCTAGTTTGGTGACATTATCTGTTCTTTGTCGCCCACCAATACCATTTATCTTCCCATTCCTCTTCTGCCCATTATTTTCTGAATCTTCTCTCGTAACGACACTCAACTTAATTGCATAACACTTAATAATAGTACGTCTACGTCCTAATGCTGCTTTAGTCTTCTCGTTATCAACTGTTTTCAGTGAAATTGATCGAAACACTGCTTGAATATTTGAAGACATGGAAAAGTGCAGGCGTTCTGCTCTCGACAGGAAGGGAGTCCTAGAGGAAGAGAAACAACAATTTCAACAAGCTGCTTACACTGTTTTAGACTTGCTCAACAACGGAGGGGGAACGCTGTAAGATTTCTCTCAAAGTTTCTGCACATTTCAGCCAGTACGTATCCCTTTTATGTATGTACACCGTGACTCATCACTTTTTTCTTGATAGTCGAAGACCGCATGTCATCATTTAGGCCTTGTGTTACGTAAACCAAGCAGATATGATTTTTGTCTTCAAACAAAGAATAAATGATCACCCTCTCTTAAAACATTCAAGTCCTCTATTTTAGAGCCATCAGCCATGAGAATTGAGCTCCCTCTCTTGCCAAATCTTTTCCCTGCAATTCGTTGTTAATCGGTTATATTCTAATTTAACAAACGTCATCTATATTGACATCGAAAAAGTACATTGAGTACATGAAAGCCAAACTCTATATATTTTTCAAGTAAAATTTCAACTTTGATTTGTTCTGTTTGATCCTGAACTTTATAGTATAACTTACATTCGAACCATGATAACTAGTTCGTGGTAAAGTTATATTTTAAACTGTCTTCTTTGTCAGACATGAAAACTTAGTAATTTACCTAAATTTCTTATTTCACTGTCTCCTCCCCTAAGTAAATGATAAGTTTCACAAATCGAATTAAAATACCTGCCACTCCGAAAAGTTCTTCAATTGACTTAGGCAGAAGTATCAGTTTTCCCATACTGTTGCCGTCTTCTGTACTTTCATCTGGATGGTGCCCGTGGATTATCACCCTGATGGGATTTGTAGGTGGAAATTGTTTCGATGCTTTTGGTCTTCCTGTAACATAATTGTGTGAATTGACCTATATGAAGTTTTAATTTATTGTACAATCTTTGATATGCTTATCCAAGCACAATTTCCCTAGTAAACTTTTACATGAAGTTCTATGATGCAGATGGTCTCAAGCAACATTTGAAAAGATATGATATCCAAGTTTCTCGAATAAGAGTAACTTGATTGAGAATAAAAAATCTAGGAAGTGTGCTTTGTTCTGAAGCAAGTTGATAGCATGAGTCTGTTGACCAAAGTGATCCAAGATGGAATGCTGGGTTTTCATAGTTTATCATCTACGGTAAAGGAAAAACTTTAAATGATTCAACCATAACTATCGAGAAGCATTTAGCATGCTCTGTTTTTAAAGAGGCGAATGTATATACTTCTGATAAAATTCAGTATAGTTTACTTGAATAGTTCTTGTACACATGATGTCTTGATGAATTTAGAATGTGCTCGGATATTGTTCCAACTTGCAACCAAGGAATCATTTATCCACTTTATGCATGTTATCTTTGGACAATATAGTACGAAAATAATGTTATAACAGTCAATGGCATTGCACAATCTACTTACCTTCCATTGTTTGATCACCATGATAAGGTACTCTTTGATTTTGTTTCTCATTTGGCTCTGTACGCTGCAAAGCAAAACATATCATCACCAAATGCATAAACATTTTCCTCGAATCTAGTTCTCACTTGTATAGATTATATTTGGAAGTCTGATTTTGAAGCTTGAAAAAACTGCAGATTTACTCATGAGGATTTCACTACTTTATGAACAAAGCAAATTCTGATCCTTTAGATAGGTGAGCCTGAGCTCTCCAATTCGATCCCCTCTTAAATCATGAATGCGAGATTAATTTTTGTATAAAATCCCTGGTTTGTAAATGTTGTTTATTAGGCATTATTGTATTGTCATTATTTTGTGTAAGTTTTTTCCTTTTAGGTCTTTCTAAGAGAGGTCCCTTACAACTATTGTGAATATAAGAAAATAGACAACTAGACTTTTTAATTGTTTCTGTTGAAGTATTTGAGCAAAAAATAAAACCCTAAAAATATTCTAACCCTAACCCTAGCTACCAATCACCATCATCGTGCTTTGCTTTGGAGTCTACCACTGTTCCACTCAGACTCAGGAATAGTGATTCCAACCACGAGACCTTGCAGCTAATCTTTGTTAGTGACCAAGGACCTGCAACCTATAACCAACGACTACATGACCTAGACCAACGACTAATTGGTAAGACAATTCATGTATGCCCCAGGGCCAACTCACTTCGATATAGTTTACAAGATCCTTAGATATTTGGAAAGAATTTCAGGAAAAGACAAAATTTTTAGGAAATATGATCACCTATAGGTTGAAAAATACACTGATGTTGATTGGGCAGGTAGCACCACATATAAAAGATCTAATTCTAGTTATTGCTCCTTTGCTGGAGGGAATCTATTTACCTGGTAAAGTAAAAAAATAAAGTGTGGTAGTTAGAAGTAGCGTTGAAGCATAATTCAAGGCTTTAGCTCATGACATTTGTGAAGATATTTGGATAAAAAAGCTACTGGAAGATTTGAGAGGGTGCTTAAGCGTGTTTATTGTGACAATAAGGCACTCATCTCCATAGCTCACAATTCACCCCTTTATGATAGGACAAAACATATAAAAGTTGATAAACACTTTATGAAGGAGAAGATTGATACTAGAGTGATATGTAATCCTTAGCTTCCTACAACATAGCAAATTGCTGATATGTTAACTAAGGGACCTCCAAGGTAATGATTTGACAAGTTGATCCACAAGCTGGCAAAAGAAGATATCTTCAAACCAATTTGAGGGGAGTGCAGTAATATGTTTTTGATATTTTCCTTAATTATAACTATTAGCTGTAAATATATTGTAATTGTTTGGGTAAGTTTTTTCCTTTTATGCATTAGGTCGTTCTTCGACTTAAGAAAGATCCTTCATAACTATTGTGAATATGAGAAAATAGACAACTATTCTATTTTGTTGTTTCGGTTGATACCAGTAATAAGCACCTGCATCCATTCTCAGTAAATAATCGTCACTTCTTTCACCTGTCTGTTTAGTATGCACATTCTGCAGGTGCTTATTACACTTCATACCAGTAAGAAGGATTCTGCAGGTGATATCTGATTACAGAAGTGTACAGGATTCTGCAATCATCCCTTCTCCTGTACACTTCTTACTCAAAACAAAACAAGGCTTTGATATCTGGTTTACACTAACTGCTAATTTGGAATAGTCAACAAAACAAGTACGTCCAAATTGTAGTACACTATTCACTATGAGATATAAGATAGTACCTCTGTATTTATGTCTTCCAGAAATTCTGCAAAGTAGGGTATTTCGTTTTGCTCCCCCCTTTTTAACCCCTTCAAGTGCTGATAGTGCAGTGCAAAAGTCAGCATAAAAAAATGTGCATACTAAACAACAGAGGGTTTATTAAGATTATTAACCGCAAGTTTATCCAGTTACTATCTTGATGGTGTATCTTTAATCTCAAAGGATTCTGACATAATTTGCTTAGCTGATAATACTTGTATTACCGATGCACTATTTTTCTCACCTCAGTGAAGTTGGAGAGAAGGATTTTTCCATCTTCATTGTTTGATTGTAAAATTTGCTTAAAATGATGGTGACTGATCCTGATGACTTGGGAGAGTCTTTTAGTCCTCACTGTAAATGGCTGTGGAATATTCAACATCACAGCTATTTCCCCTGCCATTTGTGGAGATTCCAGATTTGCCAAAACCTGAAAATCCATTTATTAAAATATTGTAAAAAAGAGGAGAAAAATCAGGTTCATTTAGTTCTCACTGTAAGTCTTCCTTGTTTTGTTGAGAGTGTTTGTCTAGGAAGAATGCTTAGGTCGGGATAGGTTTATTTCCCTAATACTATCATAAATTCTTCATCCTCTAACTTTACCTTGTCAGAATATGTAATTTGGGCATGACTGGTTAATTTCTTGCAGGATATAAAGCAGAGAAATAGGCAATAACCTTTGAACTCAACAATGAAGTACTCTATGTTACCTGTTCATTTCCATTCTTGTACGATATCATATCCTGTATTTTCACAAGTGTAGTTTAGATTTGATTCCAAGATAACATGAATGCACATTGAAAAAGACGAGATTTTACATACCACTGATCCAGACACCAAAATGTAGAAATCTGTTGGTATCTCGTTTTGTATTATGATATCAAGTTTAGGTGGAAAGTACTCTGCTTTCATCGCAGATACCTGTACAAATATATAATTGGCCATCAGGAGAAACTGAGAATAGCAACAAGTTTTAGTGGCTGGGGATATCTTCCAGACATTCTTCTGTTAAATGGTGAAGGTAAATGCTTCAAAGTTCTACTTTTTTACATCATGCTGCATCTTGGGAGTCTGTTTTAATGCTCTTTTTTATGAAATCATTCTCTTGAGCAGGGAAAAAGTTCTTTTACCAATTGAACGATGAGATCGTCAGAGATCCCCTTGAATAAGTACGCACTCTCAACTGTTTGTCCGAAAAGGTGCTGGGCAATACTGGATCTGATCGCTTTAGGTAAATCCTCCAACACCTCTTCTTGCTTCAACTCTGCTGTCTTGAACTTGAGCTGCATGTGCGCCAACATTTGATCTTTCAAGCCTTCTGGCAGTCTATTCTTGCTTCCATAACGCAGTATCTCATTTATGGAATCCCTCTGATAAGTGATAGTATATTTGTTTGTTATAAAGTGTAATGTTCAAAGATAGACTAGAATGAGAGATAATACTAACAAATGTTATTGTATTCCGTGTAAATTCTAAGACAAAATAGTAAAAGGAGTCAATCATTGGCTTATTGCTTCTAGCATATGTAAAAAGTATGAAACTTGGTAGTGTTTGGTTTAAATTCGTGTTTTCCATTGATACTATGATTTGTTTTCTAAATCATTGATTATTACCAAAACTTGGACTTATTTACCGGGCAAGATTCTTGTAGTAGAATCTTACAGTGTCAGACGGCCCGACTTCGTTATTTGTTAGGAGTGATAGATCTCCACAATGGTATGATATTGTCCACTTTGAGTATAAGCTCTCATGGCTTTGCTTTGAGGTTCCCCAAAAGGCCTCATACCAATGGAGAAGTATTCCTTACTTATAAACCCATGATCATTCCCTAAATTAGCCAAGGTGGGACTCCCACTCAACAATCCTCAACAATTCTCCTCTTGAACAAAGTACACTATAGAGCCTCCTCTGAAGCCTATGGAGCCCACGAACAACCTCCCCTTAATCGAGGCTCGACTCCTTTGGAATCCTCGAACAAAGTACACCCTTTGTTCGACACTCGAGTCACTTTTGACTACACCTTCGAGGCTCACAACTTCTTTGTTCGACATTTGAGGATTCTATTGACATGACTAAGTCAAGGGCATGACTTTGATACCAGGTTAGGAATCACGACTCTCCATAATGGTATGATATTGTCCACTTTGAGCATAAGCTCTCATGGTTTTGCTTTTGATTTTCCCAAAATGTCTCATACCAATGGAGATGTATTCCTTACTTATAAATCCATGATCATTCCCTAAATTAGCCAACGTAGGACTTCCTCCCAGCAATCCTCAACCGACTTGCCACAAATTTTATGTTTGCTATGTTAGACTGGTTGATGTAGCTGTAGAGTGAGTGTATAGAGCAGAGGGATAAATTACCATGATATATGTTCGGACAGCACCATGAACAATGAGATTTGTCATGTTTCCGATCAAATAAGATGTGAGGCCAATGTTGAATAGCATGTAGCAGATGCTAAAAAGCTTCTCCCCTAAATTAACTGCATGCAAGTCGCCATAACCGACGGTAGTAAGTGTGACAATGGACCAATATATCGAATACGTGTACCCAACCCAGATATTCCTGTTCTCAAAATCTTCAACTTCAACTCCAATCCATGTATTTCCTGGCTCTTTATGATGAACTGCTAGCCAATAGTAGAAACAACCAGCTGAATGAACTGCCAACAGTGTAACCTGTCATTGGAGATCAACCCAAAGGTATACTTAAATCTAAGTAGTGGACTGAGAGTAGAACGTTACAAGTATAAGTTTGTTATCCCAGGAAAGATGTCTTACACAAATTAGTTTGGCGAGTCTTGTTAAGAAGTAACTAAAGCGTATGTCTTTCTCCAACCTGGATTCAGAGTCAGATTAGCCATGAACTGAACTAGCCAAGTCCTTTTAATTGCATATGTAGCAGCCAGCATGCATTTGGAATAATTACTTTTACTATAATTACCTTGTGAAGAGCTCACCAACACGTCTTAGTCGCCAGAACCGAAGTAAATTGAGGAAACCGAAGGCGTCACTGCGGTACATCTTTCCAGTCAAAATTCTGTGTAGTGCCTGTAATGGAAGAGTGGAGGCTACGTCCATGGGGAACCACAGGCTTGTAAGGTAACTGTCTAACACATAATTTTCAATTATTCTAATACCTGTTCTGTAGATTTTAAATTTACTTCAGTAACTCATTTCACACTGCATATATTTAGAATGGGTAAATAAATTAACATACCGTACAGCTATCTTCTTATGATCGTCAACGAGGAGATAGGTGGATTTATCCAAGTACGCGACGAAGAAGGTCAACACGATATCAAGGGCAAAGAATGCATCCACCAACAGATCAACGGGTAAAAGAGACCCAGTTGCCACTTTCTTGAAGGCAAGCTCAAAGGGAGATGCCCACGCAGAGTACACCACTAACACCACCAGGAAAGTTTGCCACCACCTGCATTGCATCATTATTCATACTCCAAAATGCCCAACGGAAGTGGTCCGCTCCTTTTTCTCGTCAAAATCAAGTAAGACAATTCTTTCTTCACGTTACTTTTTTCAAAGTTAAACTGTAGATATCAATTTTCTCATACACCTTCATATCATACTTCTAATCAAATATAAATGATCTGTACAACTAATGAAATTCTCAACGAGACCGCACAATGTTAGGAATCACGAATCTCCATGATGGTATCATATCATTCCCTAAATTAGCTAATATAAGACTCCCTCCCAACAATCCTCAACAATTTTGCCTCCCCTGAGGCCTATAGAGCCCTCGAGCAGTCTCTCTTTAATCAAGGTTCAACTCCTTCTCTGGAGTCCTCGAACAAAGTACACCCTTTTCTTCGACACTAAGTTAAGTGCATGACTCTAATATCATGTTAGGAATCACGGACCTCTACAATGGTATGATTTGTCCACTTTAAGCATAAGTTCTCATGACTTTGCTTTGGGCTTCCTGAAAACACCTCATACCAATGGAGATGTAATCTTTACTTATAAATCCATAATCATTCCCTAAATTAGCCAACGTGGACTCCCTCCCAACAATTCTCAATTCTCAACACACGATGGATTCAAATTCGAAATACTTCTCCATATATGGGAAGTGAGAAAACCATTCTGAGTTATGAACATGAACGAAACTGGTAGGCTTACATCTATTAGCAGAACACTAAGCACTAAAATTAGATTAAACAGGGGGGCACAGATGTTATCATTATATTATCTTAAATGGGGATGCCGTGAATTCTGAATTCATGTTCAAATTTAAATCATATTCCTCTTAGACTTGCATAAAACTTGCTTGTTTATCTAGCCATATTGAATTGAAAAGGATCGATTATGTTCAACCTACCGATATCTTCTGTCATATGGAACTACCACGAATTTATTCAGGTGCGTGTATCCACCATTCACTACCGTTCCAAAAGCGGGCAAGAGGCTGCTGGAAACCGATGTCAAGTTCTTTAAATCGTCACTTGAGTGCCGCCGGATGAGAAAAGGCAACGGCGACGGCATCGACATTGTGCTTCAGCGTCTGCAAATTCTATGATCCAGAGAAAGAGGGGAAAGGGGAGTTATTTTCCATGCACGCCTGAGACTTTGTATACAAAAAAAAGGTAACTTTTCCGCAGTTTCGTGAGTTCACTCAATTTATACTAATTATAGTGGAAGGCGTCATGAGCTTTCGTTGAATTGGTGGTTCCGTACGGTTAATAAAATGATAATTCCATGGTAATTATACATAAAAGGTAAGCTTTTTAATCTCTTTTTTTTCTTTTTTGGTAATCCAATTTGAGTTGCGTTGTTCCATGAGTGAATCCTATGCTCAAGAATGGCTCATCATTACTTAATCAATCAATAATTATGATTTTTTTTTTGTTTTTTTACATTATATTTGTGTATTGTGTTGAAGAGTTGGCTCTTAGTTTCAGGACTCCAACAAGGAAAAAGAACGGTTTAAGGATGTGTTAAGAACGGCACATCCCTTTTACCATCCGACGCTTGATTCTCCTATGCCGGTGTGAGCCATATATATATATATATAGATTCCAGGTACGACATTTTATTATGGGTTAATTCCTATTTTAAATGTTTACAGCTAGATATATATATATATATATATATATATATATATTCATGTGATTGGTTTTTGTATTAACCTGTGAATTGTCGTGATTGTATGCACATGTGAACTTGATTTTTTTAAAGCATACACAAGAACGTTAATACCCCTTTTAACTTGTAAAATTGTAAATAAATTGGTATGTACATTCGATTAAAAGGTTAAAATGTTCGAATGTTCGACTAAAGAATAATGTCATAGAAAATAATAGTGGGAGAATCTGATGTGAGAAATCAATATTAGTAAATAAATCATAATGAAGGGTGAACTTTATTTAAGATTTAATCTTTTTAAATAAAATATGGTATAGATTTGTTGCATGAAGCATTGCAACTTTTCCAATTCTGCCCTCCTGTGTCCTACAAACTAAATATTGGTAAAACTCAAGTCGGGGGGTATTTAGGTATTTTGAAATTTAAGTTTGTTCGTGTTAAGGTTCCTCATTTGACCACACCTTTTACTATATTCGTATTCTGTTTGTTATATTCTAAAATTATAGTTTTTTATTTTATATTCCTCCGCTTCATTAGGAAAAAAAAAAAAAAAAAAAGTATTTCAAGTTTATTTTGTGTTGTGTGAAAATAAATATATTTAATTATTATTAATTTGAGTTGCATTCTTCAACACTTTTGAATTTATTTTCCTTCCCTTCTTAATTATCTTTGGCTTTTTGGGTTAAGTTTGGTTCTATTTCTTTTTCAGATGGGTTCACTTTTCTGCCATCTTTTTATTTACGTTTTCTTGTTATCTTAATTCCCTACCATTTTTCTTTTCATTTTATAATTCTTTGACCAATTTCATTCCTAGCATGTTTGTACGTGTATTTGCACCTCATTTTCGTGATATATTGTAAAGGTTATAAGTTCTTTCTCGGGCATCTAAAGATGTCCATGGATAGGATTAGGATGAGGAAGTTTTTCCCGTCGTCCGTGTGTCTATCCATACTCCTATTTCAATCTCCATCGTTACAAAATTTTATATTATTTTTGTTGGGAAGGGTTTCTTTGATAATTTTTTTTTTCAATTTTAATATTATTTTAAAAATTATTCGTTTCCAATAATTTTTTAATAGTTTATTTCTATTTTTTCAGTATGTCAATAACTTTTTTTGGAGTGAATCTTTTAATATTTTTGTAATTATTTTCATCAAATTAGATATTCTTTTGAAGTTGGAAGAATATTATTTATATTACAAAACTCATAATCTCATCTGACATATGAAATAAAATAATGCAAAATGAGTGTTTGAAATCAAGTAACGGTGTTTTAAAAACGCTTGGAAATTGGTTAGGAGCCATTAATTGGCAACCAATAATACATTGAAAACCTTAGAAGGATGCCTCATTCATTGGCCCTGCTTTGGGAATGTACAACTAATTCACGTTTTCTCATGCAGGCTTTTTTATATTTAGTAATGAGGTTGGAAATTAAATTAAACACATCACAATTATGCCATAAATTTATGTTTTTTGTTTCTTTTTTTTTAATTTAGAACTTAAATTAAAATGAATAACCTCCCTTTTATAAATACTTCCAAACGTAAATATAATAAACTTCAAATTCAGTACATACCATTTATTTATTTATTTATTTATTTATTTATTTATTTATTTATTTAGTGCCATTTATTTAGTTATGGAATATATGATATTTGCATCATTTAATATTCTAAGAAAATATTAGTTGGGGAATATATTTTATATATTCATCAGTTAAATTTATTTTATTTTCAAGATTAAGTTAGTTTATATTTTTGTTGTTCGTAGGTACTAGTTAATATTTTATATCTTATTTAAAGGTTGTGAATATCATGGAAGGTTTAATCTTCGATCCCAATTCTATTTCTCATTCTTATTCTTAAATCTGAATTAGTAATAATATTTTTATATTTATTAACACTTTTGAAGGGTAGATATTGTGTCGGTTGACACGTCGATTGTTGAGAATTATTGGGAGTGAGTCCCATTGATTAATTTAGTGGACTTATTCTTAAATCTGAATTAGTAATAATATTTTTATATTTATTAACACTTTTGAAGGGTAGATATTGTGTCGGTTGACACGTCGATTGTTGAGAATTATTGGGAGTGAGTCCCATTGATTAATTTAGTGGACTTATTCTTAAATCTGAATTAGTAATAATATTTTTATATTTATTAACACTTTTGAAGGGTAGATATTGTGTCGGTTGACACGTCGATTGTTGAGAATTATTGGGAGTGAGTCCCATTGATTAATTTAGTGGACTTATTCTTAAATCTGAATTAGTAATAATATTTTTATATTTATTAACACTTTTGAAGGGTAGATATTGTGTCGGTTGACACGTCGATTGTTGAGAATTATTGGGAGTGAGTCCCATTGATTAATTTAGTGGAAGATCATGGGTTTATAAGTGAGGAAACTATCTCCATTAGTATGAGTCCTTCTGGGGAGCCCAAAGCAAAGTTACGAGAGTTTATGCTTAAAGTGGACAGTATTATACCATTGTGGAGAGTCGTGATTCCTAACATTAAGAAACGAGAAAATAAAATAGGAAAAAATAAAAAATTATTGAAACAAAGATAAGAGAAAGTATATACTAACTATTTAAACATTTTTTTTAAAATATAGGATATTATTTTTAGTTTTAAAAGATGCAATTTAATCCCTACACCGATAATAATAGTAGTTTTAAATTTTAAAAAAATTTAAAAATTTAAATACATATTAATCTTTTCGACCATTTAAATCTAAATGGAAACAGGCTGGTAAATTGGCATGAGAAATCGAGACAAAGGGCAAAACTAAATACGAGAAGATCTGGGTGAAAATTTCTGTTCCGTCCTCAACTTCGCCGTCAATCATTCACTAGTTGTCACTTTTCCGATACTGTCCTGAAGGTTTTTTTTTTTGGCGGGAAAAGTTGCCTGAGAAGATTACTCAAATTTTCAAGTGGCGTTGGTAAAAAGTTTTTGTTTACCTAAGAATCACCGTCATGGTTGATGCGCTTCCGTCGTATCGGTCACCGGTGGCGGTGGAGGAGGCCGGAGAGCGGTCGGCGAAAGAGGAAAATGTCGGTGGTTCTGTAATGGCGGTTGATTTAGATGTGAATCTTGAGGCGGAGGTTGCGAAGTTACGAGGTCAATGGGAGCTGGCGTCGGTTCTGAACTTCTTGAATGTGAGTTTGTTTTCTCATGTATCGTCTCTCTCTCTAT